CTACAGCGTCTGAGAGCTGGTGCAAGTATTCTGGATTGCAGCATTCCTGGCCACCTGGATTTTGACGACGCCTGGAGCCACTTAGACTCAAAATTGATGTCACTCATTGTTTAAGTCTACCCTATCTCTTAAATGAAACATTTTTCCAAAGGCCCTCCTTGGATCCATCATGATTTAAAGTCTTTAGGAACAGACGACGCAGATTATGAGCCTGATTCAGGTTTACCAAATCGGCCTTAGACTACTCGAACTACAAGGCGGTTAGGAGCCTTTGAACATTAACGAACTGCGGGAAACGAAAACAGTAAGAACTTCCTTTGGCAGAAAAATCCAAGAGCACTCCCAGACTACTTCTCTGGTATCTGAAAAGAAGTATAAAAGCTGGGTATGAGACACCTGCTCTGTATTCTAGCAATAGTAATACCGTACTTAGCCAGCGTGATGCAAAAGCTGCTGTCCTGGCTTTGTAGCATTCCACCGTCTTTTCCATCGAAGCTCTGTTGTCTACTGACTTAGCGTCACCACACCCTTCTACACTAAAACACATAGAGATCAGTAACAACTTAGTTGTGAAACTACCTCTTGAAGTAAGTCCGAACTCTTCAGCGGGTCCCGATGATTCGCATCCTTTGTTCCTTAAATAGGTGGTCCAGCACAATGCTGCTCCTGTTTGCCAAGATTTTCCGTGCTTCCGAGGGCTTGGAAACTAGGTACTGTGCGACCTATATACAGGGGAGGGGATCGACAGGACCCTGCAAATTATCGACCAATTTGCTTGATAGCGGTAATTTATAGTCATTGAATGAATTCTCAACCGAACCCTAAATCCACCTGGAAAAGTGGTATATTCTCTTATGTGCATGGCAGGGTTTTCGGAAGGCATAGTCCTGTATCTCCAATCTACTTGTGGTCAGAGAAAAATGGACGAGATCGCTGGATGTCGGCAACTGTCCGGATGTCGTTCTCGGCGATTTCATCAGGGCCTTTGAGAAAGTCTATCATGGATGTCTTCCACTCAACCTCCATAGCATTGGCGTTTCTGGGAAGATTAGCTTCTGGATCACTGACTTCTTGAATGGCCGAAACATGCAAGTTAAGGTGAACGAGAGCTGCTCCACACCTATTTTTGTGATCAGCGGGGTCCCATATGGCTCGGTCCTTGGTCCTGAGCTCATTAAAATCTTCATCAATGATCTTCCATCAGAGCTCCAAACCAATTGCCTAATATATACTAATGATCTAAAGCTGTGCTTTGTGGATTCCAAGCGTGAAGATACTGATCGACTACAGGAAACGCTAGACTTGTTGCAGTGCTGGTCAACAGAGTGTCGGCCACCCATCAGCAACGGCAAGTGTTCTGTCCTCCCAATTGGTGCCTGAGACTGCTTTTGTGTTTATAACATTAGAGGCTTTCTGCTCAGAAACGCAAACTTCGAAAAATACCTTGGAGTCCTTGTCTCACCAGATCTACGAACAACTCAGGACACTGTAAAGAATGTTGCCGCTACAAATAGGATGCTCTTTTCTCTAAAATCCTTTTCCCAAATGACCAGAGAGATCTACGGACTTCTGTTCAGTTCTCATGTGCGCCCAATTCTTGAGTACGGTTGCTAGTAGACTATCTCCTTACGAAAGCCGAATGCGTTCTTATAGAGAAGGTTCAGTGGTGGGGATCGAATTCCGTCACGACACTCTGGAACCTGCCTTACTCTGGTCGACTTCAAAGGATGAACTTGTTTTCCCCGGACTATCATCGCCGTGGTGACTTGATTTGCACCTGACGTATCGTATTAGGTGAGATTTGGAATCAGTTACAAGAGTTCTTTCACATTTGTGCGGATAGTTCGACACGGGTCCACTGTGGGAAACTGTGTAAATCCAGGAGGCTTCGAGTTCACTCAGAGATTACTGTGTCAACTCTTGTAATGAATGACTGGAACAATCTACGTGAGAGAGTTGTCAGTACACAAGCAGAGGAATTTTGCAACATATTGCTAGCCAACTGGACAGGCATGGAGCTTGTTGTGCCTACTGCGACAGTAGTGGTCCTCTGTGGAACACTGCCGTAACAACTCACATAATGACGGGACGAAAGCTGATTCCATTTGCATGCACTTCCACAACAACCCCCGATTCTCATCTCACACCGTGAACAGATGCACTTAGAAGATTTTCACATAAGTTTTTCAGTCACCTCGGTATTTTGGACGTAGCTCCGTTTACTGTCGGGACACTGGAAAATTGGCTCGTCATTACGTCATCAAAGCGCACTGCGTAGTTCTTGAATCCGTGCATTTCTCAACTAAAGAGGCGGCGTTGATAATCCACAGCTGGCCTCCATCACTTTCTTTTTCATGGCACAACGATATTAACCGACTACCACGATTTGCGAACCAACTTGTGGTCAGCTGGCTGCCCCAAATTTCGAAACAATGTCGGCCAAAAATAGGAAAAAAGGTTACCAAAACAGTACAGTGCGTTTTATTTATAGGAAGCCAGTAGCAGTGCGCTGGCACACCGTACCCAATTTTCGTTGCCACGCGACCACCACCGGTCGCGCGTGGACTGATCATACCGCGAGGACGCCCGCCCCTACGCGGATTCGAACCGGCGACCTAAAGTTTGCAAGCCAGGCGTGCAATCCATTCGGTCACCGACCGACTTACAATGAATGAACAGATACTTCGTTGTTAGCATGGCAAATATTCAAGAGTAATTTTATTTGAAAAAGGCGACGTTATTTGCAGGCTAGTTGGCCGCGAACCCCTCCAAATTTGCTTGTCAAAATGACTGAGAGCAACCGCAGTACACCTGCACCTACAGAGGGACCGTGGAGGACTTGCGCCGCACCCCACACATCTCTATCCGTACAACATATATTCAATGTAAACCCAAGGGAATTAGACCAGGAGGCATGTGGATTGGAGCCGTGATTGACTAGTAGCCCGTTCACATTCCTTCAAGATGCAAATCTTTCAACTGAAGACAGAGAACTTATGGATAGGCAAAGTGGTGAGTGGGGCATGGTCCGTTCCATAACTCACACTTCGTCTCCCCAGTAACAAGTAGCAGCCTACTGGAGCCAGTGGTCCTGGTAGGTCATTCTACAGGCAGGAACCTTGTCGACATTCGCATCAGGCGCAACCAAATTTGTGATCCCATTTAGCACTCAGTCAAACGTGCAGCGAACAGACAGGTACATCTCTACTCCATCCACAGCGACGAAGCCTTTCATGGGCCACATTTATCACACTATTGACTTGGGTTAGCAAAGAAAATCAGAAGCAGTGTACTTTTGTTATCTTGACGATTACCCAATCAAATTGCTTGTCGTCTCTTCAATATAGTTTTCTGAGATCATTTGGTTGCGTTAGCCATAGCGTTAGGTACAAAACGTTGATGGACTGGGGGCTGCATCGGCACCTGCAGCATTCGTAACGCCACTGGCGTCAGTCCACTCTCTTTTTACAGTACCTAAAGTCTACGTCAGTCTACATCACCTTGGCAATCACTTGATAACGGGTTACTTACCTTCTGAATTATATATATATATATATATATGTATATGTATATATATATACATATATATATATATAATGTGTGTTAGGCTGTGCTTGATATCGTACACATCATGCTGCGTCACTGCAGCTGGACTACACCGACTTATACTTAAACTAAATCATCCTAATTTGGATAAAAATGGCTCCACTTTATTTTATTTGCCCAGTTCAGTTATTCTGCTGCATATTCCATGTCAATCTTGGGCATTTCTTTTCCTGCGAGTTCTGGGTTGTTTGTTCGATATCCCCGGTGTGGCTGCGCTTGACGTGAATGTTGACAAGGTGCCTACCTATCTAACACTCTCCACCTTGATTGCTGGATACAGGATTCTGAATCATTGCTGGGGGGACGGGATGCACTGTCATCCTGGCCGTGCTAATCTCAAAGTTTGGTTCCACCCAATGTTGGGCAGAGTACCGTCCAGCCACCGTCTTGTGTACGTGTGGTACGCACTATTCCCAGATTGGATAGACAGGAACGCTACTGCTGTACATATTGAAGGATTGTGAGCCGACCCTGTTGATGAAGCGTGGCTCACATCCACATGCTTACCGGCCTTATTCCTTCGGGTTCACACTGGATATGGGGTATGTGGATGGAGTTGTGTGTGGTGCAGCGTAAGCCGTCCATGGTCCCTCTGTAGGCGCAGACCAATTATGGTTGTCCAGTGGAGGCCGCAGTGACAGGTAAATCCGTAACCGGATGCCGACAACCATGTGTGTGTGTCTGTTATACTGAAGCCTACGGTATGCGGGTCGTCGAGTTCGTCAAGCATCGCAGCACTGTTGCATACGCACCAATCCTCAAAACTCTGTAAGTCAACCAGCCTGCCTTTTCAATCAATATTGCCATTGGAACAATGTGCGTTGGCCGAGTCTCATCTGGCCGTATCTGAACTGCATCTCTTACAGGGCCGATAAAACACCAACTGTGGGAATTCCACCGTTACACCGGTCATCTACAATGCTTGTGATGGTGAAATGCAGTTAGTCTGGTCAAACTTGCTTGACATCGTAAATTTTAGCAGTCCAATTAGTGTGCCTTTGATCACCAATCGTTCGTTCAGCGTCTGCAGTATGCTTGTGGGGACTCAGCCCTGATGTGTTACATCATAGGTACACCATACCGCCTACGCATAGCAGCTGTCTTCCTTGCTGATCCTAAATGATGCTTTACTTCAGTTTACTTTTGGGGACTCAATAATAATATGGTTTTTGTTGCATGGCACTTCTAATCATGTGTGTGTATATATGTGAACAGTACTCAGGGAGCTGTCTCAGACGCGTGCAAGGTTAACAAGTTCTATTCTTCTCTATGGTTTGTGTGATCATTTGTAGCAAAACTTTAGCTTGGCAAATGGGTTTCATGACTAAAGCTGGTTTCTTTTCGTTCTAGAAATTTGAGATCTCTGCTAGTCGCTAGAGAAGAGTAAAAGTTGCATGAACGCGTGCAACGTTGGACCTCATGCAATCGTAGACCCGACTAGCGATGTCTTCGTTACAAGACACAAACATGTACAAGATTTGAGAACACCTTGTTCGGACAGATCGGATGTCCTGAGAGTCTTTCGTCGAGATTGTGAAGAGTGGTCAACAACCCATCGGCGTGAAACGCGCGGTGAAATGCCACATAGCCGTGCATCGTGTAGAGATGTTCAAGTCGATGCTATCGGCATGCGTGACGCCACGTTTGTCAACAGGGAGTTACCCATATCCAAAGAAGGAGTACCAAGAGGTAACAAGGATGTGTTTACCGAATTGAGAAACATTTTACCAAACATTCGAACGCGCGATTTGGACATATTATTGGATTATGAGCGTGAGCTATCCAACACGGTCTCAAGATATAACAAAAGAATCAGATGCATTCTCCAGGTAAGTGAACTGAAGACCTAATATTGACTTCATATATAAAATAGTGTTTGGTTTATCTCACACTTAATATTTTCAAAGAGGCAAGAAATTTACCAGACTTTTTCAGATTAATCACCGCTGGACTCAACCAGATAGTCAGCAAACATCTAGAAAAGCGCTAAATGGGACTCATCAATGGCGCCCAACTGTGGGATCCCGCTGCATCCGAGCCAGTGATCTCATATGAGCCAACGACTTATGTCACGAAGCGATGGATGACGGCAGCGGACCGCCATGAATGCTTACTTACTGTGGTGTTGTGTGGCTCTTCCTCTAATGCCATGGTTGTTATGAATGTGCTGAAGACAGTGCATTGCGTAAGCTTAAGTGGAAACTGTAAGTGTCCCTCGGGACTCCTAACACTACGTCTTAGATAACTCACAAGCAAAAAATAATCACGGCCTTCTAACACAGTAAACGTTGTACTACTACTCGTGTTAAAGGATATATGAAATAGATTAATTGCGCACTGAGAGATAAACAAGTTTTGTTTTAAAAACTTGTGATGAATGGTTATAACAAGTGTTTTGTTTAAACTGTTACAATCCTCAAATTCCCTGAACATGCATTCTACCAAGTTGTAAACGCCATGCGGAACTTTCTATTTGCTTGGAACTCGATGTGAGAAATTCAAACTTATTGTAAGACCTACTCTGGATAACGTGCTATCATTCACAGCCAATTAAGAAAGAAAGAGCATAGCTCCGGAAAATGTCCAACAACAATTTGTCAAGCTGGTCCTGGGGCACCGCCCAAACCCGGGCTACTGTGATCGTTGTCGTCACCTACAATGGAATCCTCTTTGGCTGAGCCGATCGAAGGATATACTCATTCTTCTCTTCAACATTACAAATGAGCGGATCTCTACAGACCGTACTACTCTTAAACAGCTGAAAACGGCTCTCTAATTCACCGTTATGGCGACTACCTACTGTCCTCACAGCCTGCAAATCATAAAATCCGATGGACCTCAAGTTTAGTTGGACACGCCGATCTGTCGAACAGAATACCACTACGGGTACGCACGAGAGCTAACTGTGCCGTCTTCCCAATATCTCTAAGGACTTTCCTCTCTATCCCGAATATCTTGGCGCACAGCAATTTGCAAAAACATTAACGGAATCCGGCCAAAACAAAGCATGAACAAAGTATGAACAGGCAACATCTTTTCTTTATTATTACTTATATACTAAAACTTGTGCTTGTAGCACCTACTCTTCCCTACCCCATTATTTGACTGCTTCCAAGTTTCGCTAAGAAGTATCCCTGAGAACAGTTGTACAAACACGCGAACGGAATGAATACATTGCGAGTGATCGGGCCGGTGAACTGTGCGGAAATTTTTGATCCGAAATTTTAGTTATGTTTATTTTTATCGTTATGTTTCACACCACGGAAATCGTTACACTACTTCTGCGTACAAATCATCGCTTCTACTTAGAGTTCATATGCCGTGGGTCGATAAATACACAAATTTATTTCTTCATTGATTCGCTCGCTGTTCTGTGCCAATGCTTCCAATAACTGATTCGTTTTAGAGATTAGTGAAACATAGGATTGGCATCGAATTATCGATAGCAGTTCGTTCTGGTCAAACTCAGATAGGCAGCCACCACACATCCGGAGAAACACTGCACGGCCGTTTTCATTGTTTCAGGAATCAGAAAACACGAGATCATAGGTGAACAATTGTTTTCGATGATTCTCTTCAGACCATTACAATCATATTTAAGGGTAAAATAAGGAACTGAAATCGACCCATTGGCTCAAATTACATAGTCCATTAACGGTTCAGTGAGGGAGGCTAAAAGTTGATCTTTGACCTGACAGTTTGATTGCACGGTAACGAGCTTGATCTGTGCCAGTTGACCTCAGCATCGTTCGTTCTAGCTGGCCAGGGAAGCTGTAAGGCGTGGATCAACTTCTTTTGTGAGCATAAAGAAGGTTGAAACAACGGATGCAAATCGATTCAGCTGTCGCGAGCGCACGGAGGCGCAAACCTCTTGCTTGATGCTAGGGGACCCTGTAAATTATCCTGAAGGCACGCTTTAGATTAACTTGGTGCCCAGTGTCGACAATATGGGCCAGAACGGCGCTGCTAATGACCCCCGGTTCCTCCTTGACTTGGGCAGCTCTCCTTCACGCGTTTGGACAAGTGCCAATGCGTCGATTTTAGTTCCTTCTTTTAACCTTGAATATGATGGTAATGCTTTGAAATGTATCATTGAAAACAAGTCTTCATCTATGGTCTCGTGCTTTTTAACTCTAAATGGGACTTTTCCAGTTTCAGGAATCCTCAACAGTGCGCATTCCTGATGTCCGTTGTGGGCTAGAACCCGCGACCTTACTTGAAGTGTTCGTCCCTCGCCTGAATGAACGCTTGATTCCCAATCAAAACCTGAAGTCGCTGTCCCCCCACGGGACAGAAAGAAGACCGGATCGGACGAGCAGAGCAACAGGGATGTATTGGCGAACCACACCGTTCATTATAACTGTGAAATGGAAAGTTCGTGAATGGTAGTTAAAGCAAACGTGGAAAGCTCTGGAAAGGTCAACTTACAGCCAATGGAGGAACGCCGCCCTCACGTTAATTGGCCGCTTCTCCCGGTTGGCTCTCTGTTCGCCCCAATTAGGGCGGTAAGTTTGGATCGTCTGCCGTGGTAATTGGGTCCTGGCTTGTTCACATCGTGTACTCCTTGCTAACATTATGCACACTTGTCTATGGCTGAGACAAATAAAGCAGGTACGATGTGCACCGCTGACGATTCCAGAATGGATGAAACAGCCGTACTGTGTTTTTCCGGATGCGCAATGGCTGTCTTACTAAATGTGACTGTGGCAGATCTTCGTCGAAACCTAGATATTTTCTTGTATTACACCTTCAGTTTGAGCCCATTTGTGTGGATTTCCACCTTTTCAGAGTACTGAGCGAGTCTTTGGTCGAATACGTGGTCAGAGAATTGGACTGCTCATCGATGCCTCGGATGCTAACTTGGCGCACGGTAGAGATGGCGTATTACGCACACAGCTGTTGCAATTGCTGAATGAACAATTATCCCAGAGGAACGTTCAGCACATGTACCTCGCGACCTATGGAACACGGACGTCCTCATGTTGGCAAGACCCCATTGGTGTGGATGAACATGCGATAGAGAAAGCCAAGGACTTTGTGCAGGAACAAGTGCGACCAGCCGGTGGTTCCAACTTGTTGGGTGGGATCAAACACGTAAGATCCAGAGAGTGATGGCATCCACTGTTGACTTCCCCCTTATAGTGAAACAGTTGGCTCAGTAATTTTTGTCACAGTTGCTTGCATGAGCACAGCAACACATCATTTGTAGCTGGCATTAAAGCTATTATCGCGACCGTAAATTGTAAAATGTCTCATTTCTGTGCCCAAACACTTTGTATGCAGTTCATATGTGTTTTCCAACACAATTCATAATACTCACCTCACGATGGGCGTAAGTACAGTAACATCGTGTATATGGATGTGCCGCTGCTTCTCAGGTCGCATTTAATAACGAAGCCCTGCGAAAGTTTATTAACTGTTTATTCACTAGTAAGACACAATTAATACCATCGCTAAATCACTTAAAGCTAGGTATTTATCTCCGTCTATTCATTTGAGAACAGTGGGGAAAAAGATGCGTTCACTGGCTATCTGTTTCTTTCGTTTCAGATATTCATCCACGGCAGAGGACTTCTAGACTGCGTCGTCATCATTTGTGGCAGTCGTCCCGATCAAAATGGACAGTTTATCGTAGATTACACAAACCAGATACTCGCCGGCAGCAGGCTCCCCCGTCTTCACTTGGTGGCCTACGACTGTCCAGACCCATGGACGAATCACTTTCTAATCGAGTGGGCCAATGCTAGACCGGATAACGTGTTTCATCGCTACCGTGCGGCGGTGGACGCCTCGGTTTATTTGAGTAATGAGGTAGCTCCTTTGTTGCGGAACCTACAAGCTGCTCAGGTGAGTCTCATTACAAAAGTGGGAACAGCTTCTGGTGTCAACCCTGAGGGCTCCATTCATAGTGCTTCTCATTTGAGACTAGTTACCCACGCCATTCACTCGGAGCTTTCTTGTAAATGACCTGAATTGGTGGACCAATACACATCCGCACACAACACCTGAAGTAACCCACTGATAAAGCCTACTACTAATTATAATGCTGTCCAGTGAATATAACCTCTATAATACTAAGCTATAAAACCTCTATCTTGAAGATTCGTCCCGCTCAGACTGTTCCACTAATCATTTTTTCAACGGAATGTGGGTTCCAGACTCGCTTACATTTTTTAACAGTAGTCTCAAGATCAATGTCCACAAACCGATCTGATTTTCCTGGAAAGCAGTCATTCCGGATTCTCTGATACCTTTAGTGGCGGCACACGCCTGCTTATTGAATCTTCATTTATGCATTATTCATGTATTTTTGCGGCTTTTAACATTAGAGAATGATGCAACACTAAACAGGTAATGAATGAGGGTGCGTGTTGGGGCACTCGTAAGTCCATAGCGGAATCGTTCGGTCACTATAAACCCAGGTTCATCCCGCTCCAAGGAAAAGTAGGAAAAAGATGAATATATGGGCAAGATAGACGTTTATTGTCCAAACGTGCAATCCAGTTACCTGAAGACACCGTAAAATGTTTCTAGCTAGGGGAAAGGTATAGTCGCCAGCCGAGACGCAACAAACGCTCTTCAAAGGCGGAAAGCAGGAAGGACGCGGAGTGCTATTCTTCTGGTTGACTCAAACATACGTAGACACTATTCGAACAGACAACCTTCCTAAGTTGTCTAGGTAAAAACTGGTACAAATTGGCATTATGTTTTATAATATTTTACACAGACAGACAAGGGAATCTCAAGGTCACCTCACAATCACCCACCTAGTAGCGAACCGTGGATGACCCTTCTATCTATGTGAGGACTGTCCTTCGCGGGCCAATCTTCGGAGAGACCAGACGGTGAAATCTGATGCAGCTGCTGGTGGAGAACCAGGTGATCGGACCCTAGCGGGCTCCGACCCGTGTCCTCCCTTAAGGTGCCGATAAAAGAAAAGGTGGAGAAGGTTCGTAGCGTACGATCACTTGTGGTTGACCACGAGTGAGTGTTCTCCGATTCGCAACGTGGAAAGAAAGAAAGAAACGGGGGAGGTCAGGCATGCAGAAGAGACGACAGCAACGAACGGGAAAGACACTTACTGAATAGGCAGCGAATAATCAAGGAAACAACTCTTTTTATCGGTTTGCAAAACGTTTTCTCTCTTTTTCTGGTTTTCAAAACCTTTTGTGATATTTTTGGGTTCCCAAAAGTTTTGCATCTTTTTGCGGTTTTCGTAGGGTACTGATGGGAATGAAAACCTGAAAACGCTACTAGAAGGAAAAATGCTAAGCTAACTTTCTAGAAAACGTGTTGGCCAGTGAACCCGACTACCAGACCTAGTAACCTGTCTAGGCTTGGCGGAGCCGGAGGGCTCGAGAGGCGAGTTCCCGGCTGAGGTGTTATTGCCTGTAGGCGTTTCCTCCACCATCGCCAGCAGTCTACCTTGCGGTCGCAAAAAGTGTCCTCCTGCGTTATTTGTCTTTGGATCTTCGGATTTATTCTCACAAAGACCTACGTGCTCTCGTTCGATTTGGCTCCGCGAGCTCCTCCTACCATTGTTCATCGTTTGGATCTGTCATTCGCAATTTCGAAGTCAACCGTGCTTGAATCTTATCGGATAATTTATTTTTCGTCGCACAAGAACGCTTGTGGTCTTATTTTAAAGATCATTTGGAGAGTCACCCGAACATCTTCCTACCATTCCTTCTAGTCGCTGTACAAAGCGATAGTTGTCAGTTTGGTCCGCCCTTGGAGCAGCCACTGTCGTCATTAGACAGTATTTTCCAATTCATCTTGCTTTGCCTCAATCCTACGCTGCATCGCTGTTTATCCACTTACCGGCTGCATCGATGGCACGCACGTCGCCTATCTACCCTAAGGAACGTGTGACTCATTTGGACGCGACACGCCTGACCCCCCTGACCTCAAACCAGCGCCGATAGCCACGCAGTGAAAAGTGAAGCGAAGTCAAACACAGTGCATCAGTATCTCTGTCTTCTTGTTACCCTACGCCTACTGTGAACATGTTTCGTATGAAGAGCAAATGCGAATCATGTGCTAAAGTGGTAAAGAATGTGGTCTGGTGTGTACCATGTGTTTGAAATCCTATCACACTACATGCCTTGGGACGGGGATAACACAAGGGTACACGAACACGGCAGAGACGTTTTGGTGCTGCCAAGTATGCAATTCTATCCCATTTGTTAGCTGTCTAGCTGTGCTATTGAAGAGGTGTGGAAGATTAACAGAAGTGGTCCAGCAACTGGTGAGCCCCAGGGTTACATCCATGGAGGAAACGGACCTGCACTTGTAAATGAACATAGCATCCCAAATTCTCTAGTCAGGCCGAAGAAGAGAGCCAGGCGTCCCAACCTAACCCCAACGACTCAGCTGGCTTGCCGAACTACCTCCTCGTGGTGCCAGCTGGGTGGTTCGGGTGTATCCCGTTCCAGCAAAGTGTTCGGCGACAATGTTCCACCTCCGTGGGGCATTGTATTCCAGCAATTGTGCTGACTTCATGGGGAGTATTGGGCCCCTGTGTGGTAATTTACCAAACAAAGGCGCATGAGCTGATCATTCAGTCAACGCCTCCCAATGGGCGCGATTCCCTAAATTCGCCCCGCTGCCTTGCGGGTAGGTTATTTAGCCAAAGGCTCGGGGTGGAGTCCCCTAAGTCAACTCCCTACTTCGGCTTGGGCAACCGGGTAGTATCACGCCCTCTCACAAAACCATGGACTTCACTACAACGCGCTCATCAGCTACTGTTCCTGCTACTCACTTTCACGCCACTCCATCACACGCCAATTGTTTGTTTGCTAACAATCCTCACTTTCGGTTACCCGATTCATCTGTTCAACAATCTGGCTGCGATTCCGGTTGCTCCGCAGATCAAGAAATTCAACCTATGGCTCTCCTTCGTCCCCGATCCTCGTTCCGTCTGGCGTGCTTCAACGTCCGGACACTCATGCAGATTGGACAGCAAGCCGGTCTAGCGCGCACCCTAGATTCCCTAGACATTGATGTCTGCTGCCTTTCAGAAACCCGATTGCAAGACCCCAGCATTGTGCTTACATTGACATCCCCCACTGACCACGAAGCCAGATATCACTTGCGTCTTTCTGGAGATCCAGAAGCAAGCTCAGCGGGTTTGGCTGGTGTAGGTATGGCACTGAGTGGCAAGGACTGGTTCCCTATTAACAGCCGACTATGTGCAGTTCGGCTTCGGGGTTCATGTAAAATCAAAAAGCACCGCGAAGAGCGACAAATTGTTTGTGATCTCCGTGTACGCTCCAACTGACTGCAGTGGCGACTCGGTCAAGGACGATTTCTACCGAGATCTACAACAGCTCTTGACTAATGCTAAAAGTCGTATGTTGTTATCCTTGCTGGGGATTTTAATGCACGGGTTGGCCGCCTGTTACCATACGAACGCCACCTTGGTGGTCATCACCCGCTCGATGAGAACCGCTCTGATAACGGAGAGAGACTTCTCACATTGTGCGAGTACAACCGTCTGTTTCTTTCGAGCACTAACTTCAGGCGTACAAAGAAGCGTTCCGCAACGTGGCGTCCCCCTTCGCCAACACAACCTTGGTCTCAAATTGATCACATTGCGATTAGCTTCAGATGGCGCGGCAGCGTACTGGACTGCAGGTCCTTTTGGTCTACTTTCGTTGATTCAGTTCATTCTCTGGTCTGCGCGAAAATCTGTGTGTTTTAGAGGATCCCGAAACACGAAGCACCGCAAGATTGATGTAAACAGATTAACTGATTCCTCTGTCCAGGAGAGCTATCAGTCATCACTGGCATATGCACTCAATTGCAATCCACCGCGAGAAGTGGAACAACACTGGACTTGTATACGGAAAGAGCTGACCATTTCCGGACAGTCATGCTGCGGTCTAACTCGACGCCCTTTGAAGTCTTGGATCTCTGCTCGTTCTCTGGAGCTCTTCGAACGCCGCAAAGATATCTCCGCGGAATCAGATTGCAACGAGCGGCGCCGTTCTACCAATCGGCTGCTTAAGCAAAGCCTACGCAAGGATCGCGAGACATGGTGGTCTGAGCGTGCTTTAGAGATGGAGACTGCTGCCCTCTCTGGTAACACTCGCAGGCTTTTCCAACTCATTCGGTCCACTGGCCTCAGGAAGCCTGGTGTCAGTGAGGTCATTTGTGAGGTGGTTGAGTCTCCGATCACCAACCAACAGAGGCGTATGGACCGCTGGGCCGAGCACTTTCACTCACAGTTCAACTGGCCTCCACCATCCATCAGTACATGCAGTACACCTTGCTGTCCACCCTGGCTTGTCCCATTGAATCCACCCAGCGAAGCAGAAGTCTGCCTCGAGATTCGACGCTTGAAGCGCTTCAATGCTACCGGCTTAGACGGACTTCCTCCGGAGTTATTCAAGTATGGCGGTGTGGCAGTCATTAACCAGCTAACCGCGCTGTTCGCAAAAATTTGGCATGAAGAGAAAGTGCCTTCCTCTTGGGGCGAACCAGTTATTGTCCCAATTTTCAAGAAAGGCGCTCGCACTTCATGTGCATATCATCGCGGGATTAGTCTTATTTCGGTTGCCTCTAAGCTGTTGGCATCCATTCTACTTCGTAGACTATCCCCAGTACGTGAATTATACTACCGTGAAGAACAAGCTGGTTTCCGTCCTGGCTGCGGATGCGTGGATCAATTCTTCACGCGCCGCCAACTCCTTGAACATCGCCACATTTATCACAGACCCACTATCGTTGAATTCCTAGACATACGTGCCGCGTTTGACTCCGTTGATCGACCTGCTTTATGGCGTTGCTTACTAAAGAACGGGGTGCCAGAGAAATATACCGCCATCTTACGAGCACTTTACCTT